CGATGTTTCCATTATTTGAAACCAAATATGAAGCATGCAGAAAAATATGAGTTAATAAGCAAATTTTTGAGGCATTGAAAATATGGCGGGAAAACAGACTTCATGGGATTTTTGATAGACAATGAATGGAAAATTTCTTCCGAAGATTATAATTTTCTTTAGAAGACTATCATTACTACTAATACCTACGAAGAATCAAAATGCGAGTAGAAAATAGAGGGTTAGTGGGAAAAAAATTAAGCATAATTATTTTGATGGAAAAAATCAGAGTAGTTCCGTAAAAATAAAAATAGATGACACCTCAACATAATCACGGTCCTTCGGATGAGACCGTATAAACCGAGGTCCCGTGTCGCAGTAGGTGCTGGCACGAAAAAGATCCCTCACTGCTCAATGGCCGTAAATGCCGAGTATATGTCAGACTTTGTAGCCCTCCACCGGCAAGTGGTGGCGTCTCCATATGAATGAAAAATTCTCGAGAGGGACGTTAAACAACAATAAATAACCAACATCAACATAGTCAGCAGAATACATACTTAATGGTATCATTAATATGACAGGTCCTAGTTGTGTTTGAATATCCGAATTTTTATTTGATTTAAATCTTATTTGATTTGAAGTTTTGAAACAGCCCAGAAAATCCACTATTATTTTTGAAGTGCCTTAAAAATATATTTTTTTATATTGAGTTCATACGAAAGCCCATTGAGCTCATTTTCGTAGGTAACAAAAATATATTTTTCGCGTTATAACGCGAAACTTTCGCGAATAAACGCGTAACTTTTGCGTTATAAGGCGAAAGTTTCGCGTTATAACGCGTAACTTTTGCGAATAAACGCGTAACTTTCGCGAATAAACGCATAACTTTCGCGTTATAACGCATAACTTTCGCGACTAAACAAACGCGTAACTTTCGCGTTATAACGCGAAATTATACATATATAGTCATGTTACTCAGGAACCTGTGTTCTTGACTGACAGATAAAAAACATGAACGCAGAGGGGGACTTCTATGAATTTATAAATGACATTTCTTCAGAAGATGTAAAAGAGAATTGATGCGAGAAATGGACAGATTAGTGTTGATTTTGCGTTTAATCTCAAAACCCTACTAATTAATGAAATGAATATTTCTTTAAAGATTTTCTTGTTTTTCACTTGTTGAATCCAAGAAATTCTGTAGACTAATTTTTTTTCTCAGGAAGATCTCCACTCGTTGCTTTCTTTGAATAAATTGTCAATGTTTTCGTAAGTAATGGTATGACCAAATAGTGCAACCTTAAAATACAATGTTGTATTTCTTCAGTGAGTCTATCGGAGATGAAATATTTGATACGAATATTTGTCATCCAATTTTCACATTAGGTTACTCATGTGATGTGACACAATTATTCCGTGAAATACAAATTTACCTCATTGTTGTCAATTTTCTGAGATCTTTTATTTCAAATTCTATATAAAATGTTCAATCTAATTAAAATTAGACTTGTATTTTCGCTCCTCTACTATACGCTTCAACACTTGTATTGAACAGCATTGAGAAAGACAAAATGTGACGGCAAAAAAGATTTAGAAAGAGGAAAGACACATTCAATGGCGAGAAAACATAAAATTTCAGCTCGTGATAATCCAAGTTCAAAATAGTCTTTCGTTTTTCACTGTAATGAATAAACTAGATCATTAAAAAGTAAAACAAACTGTAGACTTATGCAAATGTCTCTGTTTTACAGGGAAAGTTTCGCGTTATGACGCCAAAGTTTCGCGTTTATTCGCGAAAGTTACGCGTTATAACGCGAAAGTTACGCGTTTATTCGCGAAAGTTTCGCGTTATAACGCGAAAGTTACGCGTTTATTCGCAAAAGTTTCTCGTTTATTCGCGAAAGTTACGCTTTATAACGCGAAAGTTTCGCGTTATAACGCGAAAAATATATTTTTTTATCTACGAAAATGAGCTCAATGGGCTTTCGTAAGTTCAAATCAATTTTAAAATAAATTTTCATTATCCAATGAGCAGCATTTACAAGTCATTAGTCAAATTTTTTGAGACGTTAAGGTAAGACGTGATTATACTTTTTTTTTTAAAAAAAAAGTAAGTTGTCATTATATTTAAACATCTATCACCCTTAAAATTTGAAAGAAAAACATATACAGGTATTGAGCACTGACTTCAAGAAATGCGTTATATTAAAAGAACCAATGAAGAGTCTGAAGAATTTTCAGGCCCGTAGAACGCTGGGACCACTTTTTTCTAAGTATAGTCTTTTGCTGTATAGTTTTAACATGGACATTTCATTTAAATGCTGGTTGCCTCTTCCCCCTTCCTCCACTTTTGTCAAACACTGGCAAATTCCAGCATTTGAAAAAAAAGTGTACTTAAAGGTTGGAAATAGGTCTATCTTCCCCCATCCCTCCCTCCACGAAATAGGATTTTTGAATTTAAGAGCCCCCCTCCTTTTTTTCCAAATCATTGCTGTTGGCCTGACTTTTTCTCATTCGGTCGAAATAACTTTTCTCCGAAATATGTATGTACCTCATATTCGTAAAGCCTTTATATGTAACTTTGCCAATCAATTAGGTTGTCAATTTCTAGATCTTAACCTGTCAGTTAGGTCACATGACGTAGTAATCGTGGATCTGAGCTCGTATTTTCATCACTTTCTTGTCCACATATCGATACAATTTGTGGAATGCGGCGAACAAGAGGCTTGTAAGTTTTTGTGATTTGTTTTTGAGGATTTTGGCGAAAAATGTGCAATTTACATTTTCGTGAATGATTTTTTTGGAGTATAGGGTAAATTTTTGAAATTGAATTGATCTTAATTTTTTCTATTCCTATTTTGTTTCATCTCAGCAAAATCTAATTTATAGGGGGGGAAATGGAATTCATAATCATGAGCAGAAATTAACATTGCGGCATAAACCTCCAATAGAGGGACCCCATAGCTCATTCTAAGTAGCTATTATGGTTTATAGACAGAAACCTAATTAATTTAACATTAATTTGCTTCATATATCCCAAAATATTTGAGTTCACTCGAGTAAAATTCTTCGTTAATTTCCAAACAATAACCATCATTAGATTTTTTTTACATTAATATTCATAGCAAATCAAACAGTGGGATTAATTAATTAAACTCTTTTGACTTCAAAGTAAAGAAATCGCGATAGCTCTGAAAAATACAACCTAGGTAAATTTTAGTAAATGTATATTTTTCATTTACTTGTCACATAAAACATATGATCGACGTATTTTTTTTTTATTTTGTTCAGGTAAACTTAAGTTTTTGATTTATGAAGTATTGTTTTCGATTTGCATAATAAATCTAACCACAACGAACCTTCCTTAAAGTGAAGCTATTTTCTTTATGTGTCATTTGGCTTCTGTGTCCATTATTGCTCAGCCATAGTCTTTCGTGGAAAGACCGGGGATTTGTTTCTCTGCATATTTTTGTGCTGGACTTCAATTTCTGTGGTGTGTTTCGTGGGTGGGATGGTCAGTTTAACATGATATAATTGCTGTCCCACAGGTGCAAATAGCGTCAGGTATCTTGTAGTACATGCTTGGTAACAAAATGTGACACATTTACGTCGTATTATGGAGTCATTTTGCAGCACTTGAATAGAACCTTCATAATGTTCTTTTTTCTGATACAAAGACTATTACTTTGAGTTATGCGAACGATGTCTTCACATTTTGATAGATCTTTCGGTCTGTCAGTTATAAACGTAAATTATATCCTGCTCGCCTTTCTCTACCGTTGAAACAGTAATTTTACTTAAATTCTGCAGACAACAGGGAAGACCTCTTTTTCCAGTTCGTTTCATGTAAATGTGAATTATTTATTCCAGAGAGTTTCGATGTTGTGAAAATGGCCCAGATGCCTGTTTTTTGACGATTTCTTTCCTGAAGAATCAACATGGGAAATGGTAAGTGTTAGCCTATTCAGCAATATGTGAAAAATAGCTCTATGCAGTATAAGTTACTCATGACCAAAATATTACATATATTTCTTTTATTGAATATAAATTCATATATTAAATCTATTTCACTGTGTAAAACAAAAATATTCTATAATGACTGCAGTTGAATTCTGGATTTACATGCATGTGGCAAGGCGTTGTCTTACACTAACTGAATGCAATGGGATTTTTTTTATCACACTTGTATAATATTATTATGTTTTGATGATGGAAGAAATATTTTAACCTAAGAATTACACATATGACATGTTATGTATGAATTTTTCAGTTCATATAGCATTAAAAAATCTATAAAACAAACACATGTTTGAAATGAAGTCCTATTCTGATATACAAGCTTGGAATGTCGAAAACCGCGGTCTGATTGTAGGGCGAAGTGATATTAAAATTCTGTTTTTAAAATTAAGATGAATGCACATGAATACCAAATAGACATTGTAGATAGATGAAACTAGTAAAAAAGTGAAGTGGCAAGTATTTGACACGAGACAATAGCATAAATATTTAGGTCATCGTGACCGCAATACCACAGAGTAATATTGCACATGTCACATAAGGTGTAGAGATTTAATGTTCTGTGCAGCTAATACTCGTAAATGAGAGAGGTTTTTTTTTAGGAGAAAAGAAAACTTCATTTTGATTGCTTGGAGAGATTTTCATCTTATTCTTTTAATGAGAGAGAAAGAGAGAGAGAGATTAATTGTATGTTATATTAAAGAAATTATAAAAAAAGAGAGGTACTTATAATATTTTGAATAATGAGAGAGAGAGAGAGAGAGAGAGAGAGAGAGAGAGAGAGAGAGAGTTCATTATATTTTCTAGTGCCTAAATCCTAATCGATCGATTATTTAGATAACTTTTCAAATTATTTCGTCTCACCCTGGTGCTTTTATAACACGGTTAAAACAGTACATAAAACTTGCCAAACTGACCATAACATCGCACAAATAGTGGCCCGCCGTGGCCCCAGGGCCCTGAATGACAGAAGATAAACACGGCGATAAAGTCCTGATGACTATATGGAGGAATGTCGTGCGTTAAAGTAGCTGAAATATAGTTGTCAATCAATCATATGTATTTATTCAATAATTCGACATTTTTTTTTGCACACCTGGTGTTCTGATAGAAAAAAAAATTAGGCCCGTGTTTTAATTAGGTGCAGAGGAGAATTAAAAAATGGGATTTGTATGTTATTCTCTCATAGTATATTGTACCATTGCTATAGATTTTAAAGAGCAATAAAAATATTCGTATATTATTTCAGAAAAAAGTAATAATAGTTTGATATATTATTTTAATTTAATTTACTAAATGCATATTATTGGTTCAAGTGTATAATTAGATGTATTTTTCAATCAGAAAAAAAGGAAGCTTTTCAAGAATGAATTTAAAGAGCAGAGAACATGACCACTCTTGATTAAGCAGTCGAATTAATTAATTGGTGGTCGAAATTAGCAACGCAACAGCCATCTGTTGTGTGTCTGAATCAATTGCTTCCCAACGACCGAATTGTGTGCCGCAGATATTGTTAAACTGTGCGTAGTAGAAACAAGATTCCCCATTAACCTTGTGTCGAATAATGCAAATGTACCTCATTTTGTATGTAAATTGAAACCCCGAGCCCAACAACCGAACGTAGGTATTAGATAGCGACATAGCACAATAGAAAGGTAACAAAAAATAAAAAAAGTCTGTCTCACTTGTGTCACTGTAACTTCACTGGATTTCAGCGGCAGTTCGACGATGCTCTACACGTATGCCATGTTTTATATTTATTTGAAAAGTAAAAAGTTTTGAATTTTAAATTTTTGGAATTCGTATCATCTACAGAAAATTCTGCACCGGAAAGGACCGAGAAAAGTGCTGTGTTTGAGAGCCCGGTGATTCTGCCCCTCCCTGAGAAGGAATTGGATGACGGGGGAGTTTACAAGGGGGATCAACCCAACGACCGTATTCTGAAAGGTACGTTTGACCCAAACCTTTTTGAGGAAGTTGATTTTAAGTTTCAAATATGTATAAATGATTTTTATTAATTTGTTTTTTTTATCTCATTTTTTTCAAAGAGATCCGTATATAAAGAAATATTTTGTATTGATACGCCGCCTTTTTGTTGAGTGATTACATCCGCCTTTTATGGTTACAAGGCATGAAATTTAATTTTGAATAAATTTCTCTTAAATATTTAAAGTCTTATGAAGAAGAAAACAAGCAATGATATGCTTAATAAATCCAGTAACACATACTTATGAAAGTGTAGGACTGATAAATAAAACATATGAGTGGCGTTATATTACACAATAAAGAAAAAAATGCATGTATAGAATTTCTTTGAGTAAAGTATTTAGGTGATCGTGTGAAATATATTTCATGCATTATAATTTCAGCTATCTAATATCAAACAAGTATATTATTTCACGTTAAATATTCCGAAATAGTATTAACAAGTACATATATTTTTTTAAAAAAAAACCTTGAATGCCCTTGCATAATTTTTGCAAAATCAGTTCAACAAGAGCCCATTTCACAAAATTTAGGCAGATTTCCTTTCAGTTTCAGAAATATTACGGAAAAGCTTAGAGATGGACGTCGGAGAAAATGGTGTAACGAGCAATGACGATGTTTTACATAGCATGACAGAGAATGGGTGCGACGTCACGCCACAATCCCCTACATTCCGAAGTTCCATCACAATTCATTTAACTCCCTTTGTGGAATATCTCCAATCACCTGATACTGAAAGTACATCTAATGAAAACATTGATATAAAAACTGACCAGGCGTTTCATAACGAAGGTCGACAGACCGGTGACAGTGATCAAGTACTTGAACAAAATATTGACAAGATTATCAGTAATTCCTGTATGAGTGGTATGGAGAACCCATTATGCAACGGCGACACTGCAGATATGAAGGAGTATGTATCTACAGGTGTTGCACAGGAAGGAGAAGGTGAAGAGCTTGTGATAGTTCAAAAAGTGAAATACCATCGAGGAAATAGCAACATTGATGAATATATTGAAAAAGCTAAACATCTGTCAATAAAAAGGAATGGATTTTCAGCAGGTGTGTCTAATAGTGGTGATAAAGCTGCACAAAATGGTGACCTCTTTAACGGAAGTGATAAAATTGACCAAGGATTAATGGAAGTGAAGAAAAATGTAGAACTTTTATCATTTCAGCCAACAAAAGAAAAAAGTGAAAAACAGACTTTAGTCTCTGATGAAATAAATTTGGAACCAAAGCAGGAGGAAATTGAGAAGCATGAAGGGATCGCTGGTGGAACATTGACATCAGAGCAGGTGCAAGAAAATGGTGGAAATTATTCACCAGTCGTTGTTGAAAATATACATACTGACCTTGGACATGAAAATAGTGAAAAACCATTGATAGCCAGTGATGAAATAAGACCAACAGAACAAGAGCGGGAAAATGTGGAAGAACCTTTAGGAATCCACGAGGAAATAATACCGTCAAACACTGCCTCAGTTCACGCAGAAAACACTCAAGTGAATCTGACTGTGGAGCATACAGCTGATCAGGAAAATAAGGTCGATGATTTAGAAATAAAAGTACTTTCAGAAGTTATGAAAAAAGATGAAATTCAGAGACAAACTTCCACAGAAGAACAGAGAGAAAAAACAAAGAAAAAACATTCACCTTTGTCTAAGTTTGGAGTTAAATTCAATGAGGCGTGGAAAAGCATCAAACCAAAACGAAAGGAGAGCATGGAGAAATCAAAAACTCGAGTGGCGGGGGCATACGCAGCTGAACATGATTTCACTGTGAACCATGTATCTCCAACAAAAGAAAAGTCAGCTTTTGAATGGGAGGAACCCAATAGAACCAAAGTAAACATTATACAAACCAATGGAATTTCCTTCGAAGGAGCAACTCAAAAAGCTTATGCAATTTGTAATGAATATGCATGTGTTGTTCGAAAGCAAAGTTACTCTAATAAAATTGATGTGCCATCTGAGTTTGTGGAGGATAAGGATATTGAATCCGATACAATTTCTGACATTGATGAGGAATTGGTAACAAAACCTCTTCACAATGATGAGATATCAGATTTTGAAGATGACATTGACGCCGAAAAGCAGGGCCCAGTGTATGTGGGACTTATTGTTAGAGATGCAAATGAAGGCGAAGGAAACCCCGCAGATATAGAAGGACTTTCTGAAAATGTAGAGGAGCGTATTACTGCATCTGTTAACAGAGATATGCAGTATGAAAAAACCAAGGATAGCGTAAACAGTGATGATGACATTAACACAGTTAGAAATGAACTTGAAGCTTCAACAAATGATGAAGAATCAACAAATATTGAGATTTCCCACGAACAGATAGTCGCAAATGAAAACACAGGTATGCAAAGTTTGAAAACCGAAGTTGAAGAATCAACTGAGTCCACTCAGAAATCTATATCACCCACTAAAGTAAAGAAAAAGAATAGCATATTGAAGTATCTGCTTCATAGTCCTAAAAAGAGCAAAACGAAGAAGAAAGATTCTCTGTCTGGCAAAACACAAGAAGTGACAGTCACCCCTGATTCAAGAACAGAAACTGTAGCGACGTCATCTGAGGACCAGCAATCTAAAAATACTTGTGCTGATAATACTCACCCATATCTGATGTACGTAGAATGCAGAGAAAAAGATACAGAATATGCGAAAGAATCTGAAAAAAGTATTGAATCGAAAGAGGAAAGTTCTTCGACGAATTCTTCGACTGCAGAATTTGATGAAGTTGATCTAAATTCAACCTCTGACACACATTCAAATTTAAATGTAAAAGATGAATTTAAAGATTCATCACTGAAGGAGGACATTATTCCCAGAGTATCACAAGAAGATGCTGAATTACACGTCAATATGACAGAAAAAGACACAGGAAATGAAAACGCAAATTTTGCATTTACAAGTCACAAATATGAACAAACAGAAAATTCTGATCTAGTAAATACACATTTGAACGAACAGGATATTTTGGAATCTGAAGTTGACTCACAGTTGATCGGAGAAATAGATGTTGACAATAGTGGCAGTAAAAATCTTCCACAGAATATCAAAGTTGAGGAAAAGTCTGATGAGCCTCTTTCGAATGAGTATCCACTGCAAGAAATTAAAGCTGAGCAAAATTTGGAAGATGTTCAATTGAATGAAAATCAAGCTGTAGTTATTGATGTGACCTGTTCAGATGAGGTCGATTTCAGTGTCAATGATACCGATCATGATATAGATATGATTCAGAGGCAAGAAAAAAGAAAACTTCCAGATGATGAAAACGATTCTCATGAGCTACAGAACCCTTCTGGAAGCCATTCAGAGAGTGTTGCCACACCGTCACTAAGTGCAAAATCCTCACCCACTCGAAAGAAGAAAAAGAAGCGAACAAATAGTCTAAGTGCCAAGATATCAGATTTCTTTGGAGTTGGGGAATTCAGACGACGAATATCGACGACCTCTAACAAATCAGACAAAAGCCCCCAAGAAGAAAAGAATATCTGGTCACCAAATGAAAAGAAGACAGAGAGAAAACAAAGCGACTCTTCTATACATGAAGAAGTGGACAACGTCATACCTGAAACAGAGACAGCATGCTCTGAAATTCAGGAAGAAATTGTACCTGAACGTTCTTTGGAGGCAAAAAGTATGCCAGCATTAAATATCGAACACTCAGATGAAGGAGCGGAGAAAACTAAGACTGAGGCAACTCAATTGAGAAGTCGTGGACGAGGGAAGGAAAAAAGGCCCAAGAAGTCTTCTTTTCTGGAGAGTCTTGGTTTACATACTGGTAAAAATAAAAAGAGACCAGTAATTAGCAGCCCAATCAGACAACCCAACAGAAAAAGTAAGTAAAAGCATAAAAAACGTGAAAGAATTTTTTGATTATTTCACCAGATACACTTGGTAGTAAATCGCCGTTTGTCTTTTCTAAAAGTCTAAAGATCTACATTGGATACGCATTTTATAATATACCGGTAGAAGATGTAGAATGTAAACAAGAATTTGTATACCAGTGTATCAGGTATGGTAAAAAACTATGGATATAATATGACAGGTACTTTGAATATATTTGCTAAAGTAATAACATTGCTTTAAGACCACACATGGTGAATTTCACAAAGATACTCCCAGAGTAATTACATATTAACATATGCTAAGTAAACCATGACTGTTTAGTTGTCACATATAGATACATTTGTCTTTATTCTTTAATGTTTAAAGAATTCAGACCTTTAGGTGGTAATTTAAAAAAGTTTCTTTGTATTCAGACATCACACAGAAACCAGATCCCCATAACATTATTAAGATAGACATATATATCTCCACAAAAAAATAACATAGAGTTCCCTTTTATAAAAATCCGCTTTCAACAGGAAGGCAGTTGAATTATAAATGTCCTATTTTTAAAACTAAAATTTATCAGGATACTATTATAACTTTAATTGATCAAATATCTTTGGCACAGTAATATATCTTTCATACTATAAAGAAGAAAGTAATCAACGTGACAATATTTTTAGTTAAGATATTGACCATGGGTTATTATATGACAAAAACAAACACATTAAATTTAAAACCAAAAGTTAGCTTTTCAAAGTAAATCATGCCGAAATTATCGGCTAAATTTGCATTATGCGTCCATATTTTTAGATAAACAATATTTGGAAGATTAGATTTACCTGGAGGCCTGCATAAAAATTCCTTTCTTTGATTTAAATTTGTCGACTTCAGAGTAACGACCCTGTATTAAACTACAACTATATAAATGTATATGTAAAAAGATATGACACATTGGAAAACAAAATAAATTTATAAAAAAAATAATTGGTTCAGCTCTGGAATATGAATAGACGAAAGCAAACAACAGGGGATCTTGATAAAATAAAAAATGTGTAAAAGCGAGATAAATAGGAAATAATGAGAATATTTTCAATACAAACAAAACACACAATAATCTTTTATAAAAAGAAGTTGCTATCTAAGGAGGTTGAATCCTGCAATATACATCATTAAGATTTTTTGTTTATTTTTTCAATATCGGCATACATAGCTTTATAAACAATAAAAATGAAAAATGGGGGATGGGCTTTCTTTGTCGCTATAGTGCAATGAGTATGACTTTTCTGCACTGTAGTTAATGTAGCTAAACCTTTTCACATAAATAACTTTTTAAAAGAGACTTCCTCTAAATTTTTTATCCAAATAAATCATGTATCAAATCAGACTTATACTGTGTTTCATTGATACACTGAAAATTGTGAAAAAAGAAAAAAAAAATTCAAATTACCTTGCATAATTATGTGACCTATTTGCACTCGAAGAATAAAAATTTTATGGTATTAAGTATGGAGTAACAAACAATAATAAAAAATTTAAGTCTTAAGATTTTTCTGGATTTAGGGCAGACTTATCGGAGTTATCGTATATACAGGGTGTTTCATAATATATGTTACATTTTGAATCATCAATTTGACAAACACAAGAAAAAGATACAGACAAGTGTTTTTTATCAATTTGATGCATGTATCCATAAGATTCATTTTGTATAATTACCAACCAAAATATTAAACACTGGACGAAATCTCAAACATTAATGAAAATTAACGAAATTTCTAAATTACGCCATTTTTGTTACGTTGAATTTCACAACGTCAAAAGCCCAAATTACTTGTTCTTAATGATTTCCACTATTTAAATTACAATTAAATGAAAATTTCCTCTCGAAATTTGTATAACCTTGTCAGACATATTTGTTAGACATTCCTCATTTAAAGGTTTATAGCGGGTTTGCAGCTCATTCAGTATCTGTAATTTAAGATTGTAGACCCTGTTCCTAAAGAACCCCTACAAAAAGGCTCAGAGATTGAGATTGGCGAATGCGAATGCAGAGATCAAACTCTTTTCTTGGGGTATTGCATTATTGAAAATTTGTACCCTGAAAACTATATACATGTATATCATATTTCAAAGTTCAATATATGCTGGCAATGCTGATATTACCAGCATCAATTTTTGAAAACATCCATCTGATACTTTACTCAGGAGTTTACTAAACTATTTAAGAGTCTCCACTTCACCAATTAAATCTTCGGTTCTTGAAGTCCTTAGGCTCTCTGGAGTACCGTGTCACTTTTCGCATATTGCTCGTCCCTGTCCTTTAATTTTGTAACTAGCCTTTTAACAAGCATCCTCAAAAGTTTCCATTCTTTTGGAATATTTCCTTCATCAACTTCTGAATATTTACGACATGTATTGCAAAAACAGCTTTACAATACAGCAATATGTTGATAGGTTAAGTCCATTTCGAAAAATACTCAAACTATGACATCGGCGTTTATGTCACAATGTATCATTGTAATACCATTAATTCCTTGACTTTTTCACATGGAACAAAAATGCAGGATTTGATGTTTAAAATGATATATAGTTTGTAATAGATATATGATAGGTAAGAAATATAATTAGATTTTAAAATGTAGCATATATTATGAAACACCCTGTATTTAGAAACGAAAATGAAAATTGAAAAAAATAGAGGTCTCTGATGATTTTTTTTATATAGATATTTCTTAAATTTTCTTAAATCTAAGGTAGATTTCTCGACTTTCACAATAAATTTGCTCTGTTCATCACAATATGACTAGACTTCTGTAGACTTTGAAATATTAAATCTAAAATGTAAGTCAGGATCAACCAAAATAATCTCCCTGCACAAGATAACTAAGTTTAGTCTGTATGAAAATTTAGGAATCAAAACTTAACAGTACTGTACATACTATGACATAGAAAATTGAACATTTTCTTCTAGAAAACCTTCCACAACAAAATATAGTTCCTAATCAAATGATTTTGTATGGAATTTAAACATGAATTTCTCTTTACATATAGTTTAACTGACTTTATAGAATCCAAATATCATTAAAAACAAAATATGCTGCAAAATTTACATTTTATAGGACAAGAAAAAAATCTGCTCAAAAACTCAGGATCGAACTTCTATATAACAATTGGTTGAAATAAATATGAATTGTAATAATTTTGAAAATGTGCAATGTGATACCTTCATGTACCCTGACAGTGAAATTTTCGTTTTCCATTACTAGATGAGGAGAGGTTAATTAGTATTCATGTATTCCAATTACAAACAGGTGTCCAGATATATTCATAGACATACTCATGTTCAAATTGATTAATTTACTGCCAAATTTACCTCAGGTGGATAACATCTACATTTGTAACAACTGTAGGACAGTATGACAGATAAGTGTAAACAACTCATTGAGGTCATACATGTAGGAAAAGGTATATACAAATAGAATAGAAAACGAAAACTGACATAGACATATTTTAACTGCGTATTAAAACATGCCAATGATAATGAAATTTAAATATTTTTTGGAGTTACCTTGAAATGAATTATTAGTATAAAAGTATCCCCAATGAAAAAAGCAAGAGAGGAAAACAGAGGGCGATTGTATATATTGAATATGTTTTCGCTCACGCCAGACATGTTAAACAATCATGTAACAAGTACCCGAGGCCAATTCTTACAATCAATACAATACAAATAATGCATTTATCCTTAAGTATTTTAATAACACGATTTCAAGTAAATTGAAAGTGAAATAAGAAATATGTATAATAACAATTTTACGTTTAATAACAGGTTTATTTGATGAAGAGATCCAGATAGATGTTGACCAAGACTTACATATCATATCTTTATCAGGTAATAACTGCGCAAAGCTATGTACCGGTATAAAAAAGCCTAATGTGAATGTAAGATATTAAAGAATAGTTTGTTTTCACCGAGTAAAGGGCTACTGGTATGAAACAGATTTCATTCATTAGTTCCACTATTTATAAGCATCTTTTATTATGTTTCAGATGACGAAAATGATCCAAATACAACACCAAGAAAATCAAAAGGCAGCGAAGAGATTACGAAAATCTCAACGGAAGAGGTAGACAAAGACCCTGATGAAGACAAAATTGAGAAGACACTCTCCATGGCAGTCGATGAAGAAGAAAAGCCACAAAAAGATAGCGAAGAGAGTAATGCAAAAGATAATAACAAGGATACAAATTCTGAAGAGATCACAGATGCAGATGATTTGAATTTATCAATATCAAACGTTGATGGCAATAATGAAAGTAAGCCGGAGATCAAAATATGCATGGTAGAAAGAAAATTGAGTCCTGGTGAATATGTGTCATTAGAGCAAACCCCAGAAAACAAAGAAAAAGCAGAAATTGTGACTGATTATTTGAAATTTGAGCAGGAAGATTCAGAATTATCTCAAGAAATGGAAGAAAAAGGATTAACGCTACAAGTTAATGGAGTGAAGAATGGGGAGGATTATAAATTATGCGCTTCTGGGGTGGAATCATCGACTGAAAGTACAAATTTGGAAAAGGTGAATTCCTCAAAATTAGAAGCTGGAACTGAAAAAGAAATTAAAACTATAGAAAAAGAAAATGGTAAGGAATCCACAGTAACTAACAGCAAAACAAACAATATCGACGAAAAATGCAGTATGAATGCTACAAGTGAAGAGGAATCCCTAGTGTTCAATACGGAATCATTTCAAAATGTTGATAATAAAGAAGTCAATAATGAAGATATCGACAACAGTTCACCCTTAAATGAAGGGGCTAAAACCGTTGCAGAAAACGAAAAATCAGCAAATGTTACAAGTGTTCCCTGTGAAGACGGTCAAAATATTCACCATATCACTGTAAAAGCGACCATCGAAACACCTCCTGTGTCAAATGAAATTGATTTATGTGAAATGATGAAGGACCATGTCACAGAGTGTGAACCATTATGCAATGATGCGGAATATGACAGCATAAAGGTAGAAGATGAAAGGACTGTAGCAATAGAAAACCCTAATTATTGTGCCACTTGTCCAGTTGAAAACAAATTGCCCCCGGATATAGTTGACGATCTTCATTCACAAGTTGATGTTGACGTCAATGGAAAGAACGATTCTTTGACATTACCTACAATCAAAGCATCGAAGGAGGATAAGAAATCGTCATCAGCAGCTGCTCGATCAGCAAGTATGGAGGAATTAACCGTACATTCTAGTCACATTTACGAAGAAATTGAGAAAAAGAGACCAATTATATATAGAAGATTTTCGGATAAAACGGAGAATAGAAAAGTGATTTGTACAAGTCCGGAACCAGAAGGAAAGAAAGTGAAGAAAAAGAAATCTCGCAGCAGCTCTTTTTCGGAATTTTTTAGGAATCCAACCAAATATAAAATGCCAGCATGGAGAAATAAAAAACCCAAAGGTAACTATACTTATGTCTTTGTACATTAATTTTTTTTTTATTTTTTATTTTATTTTATTTTTTTTTTTTTACAAATTTGTAAGCGAAATTCGTAAATTGGAGACTGTTTGAAGTGTGATCAATCAAACTTTTCTTGAATTGTATTTTTGTTTTCATAGAAATTGTTTAGGATGGGTTCATAGTACATAAGGTAAGAATCTCTACGGAAATGCACAAAATGTGATTCGAAACGCTAACTCAAATTAAAAAAAAAATCTATTATTATCCCTCATGCTTAGATTAGATCTAGTTTAAAATGTAAGCCTGTCTAATAAACTTGTATGAACTTAACACAAGACTTACGAAATAGCAAATATATTACGTAATTGCTTAATTTTCAATACACTATTGACAACCATAATTATCCTTTAACAGATAATATTAACAATCGCTTTTTTCTGGTAAATTAAGTTTGGAAGAGTTTTGTTATTCTTTATCTGGTCTTGGTACGATAGGTATCAGCTGTTTTATCATCAACATCACATGGAAGGGTAACAAAGCCGTCTTTTTACCACTGGGTGGGCAAAGATTAAAATATCTTGATTAACAGTAAAGATATTGTAAAAAGAGGGTTTTAAAAACAGTTGCTCAATTCTTGTTTCAAACGCACAAATCAATATGTACCAATTGTTTTATATTTTGCAATTTCTTTATAAAATCTGGGGTAGCATTGCTCTTCCTGTAATACGTTAATGATATAAGACGTCAAAATATGCAGCTTCCGTGACACATCTCTGGTCATGACAATTTTGGTATTTGATTTATGTGTCTAATTGGACATTGTATCCTTCCCTCTTGGCATTTCTAGGTCAGTGGTCGCTTTAGAGATTTGATAAGATCTCTGATCTACTTCTTGCAATGGCTTCTTGCAATTGTCTATGTTAATTAATTAGGTATATGCAGGCTGAACGATTGTTTAATATATTCTGAGGGAAAATAAAGGAATATTTGAACAGATTCGATTTTGCTATTTATTCGCCAAAATAACATCAAAGCACTAGTTAAAAAAAATATAGGAAAGCATAAAAAAAAAATAAAAAAAAAAAGATTGGTATGCTTATTTTAAAAAGTCTAAAACAAATTAAAAGATAGGGTACGATATTTATCTGATCAATTAAAATTTAATCTTAATTTTCTTACTAATCCTTTTCAGAACATCCAAAGAACAAAGATGGCGATGTAATCATTCAAGCAAGTTCGTCTACATCTATTCTATATATGTAATGGACTTAACTACATGGAAACGACAGTGATTGTTGGAACGTCTTGTGATTGGAAATTACTTTCGAGAAATCTTAGAATTTAAGAGTTCCAGGAATCATACAAGATACTTGTTCAAATTTTGATTTCGAGGGAAGTGAACAAGTTCTTTGTCCAGAATCAATTCTAGTGGCGAAAAATGAAAATGTTTTAATATCTCCAAAAGTGTTCTTAAACGAGTAATGACAGGAGGAAACGGGTACAAGTACACTCTCTTGAGTATGTGTAAATTGTCATCAGTCAATAATCATTACATCATTATATTACCAGTATGTAGATATATTTTACTTATCATTTTAAAATAGTCAAGATTACAAGTAAATATTTGTAAGGTAATTCAAAGTTATTTGAAATCAAGTTTAATGAATTAATCACGATTGATTAAATAATATTTCTGTATTTTATTTTAAATTATGAAACTGTAAAAGCAATTCGGTGAAGTGTTACTGGTATATCAAAATTGTAATGATACTGATATGGAAAAGAACATTTAGTATATTACTAATCTAGTAACAGTATTCAACAATCAGTGTAAATAACATCATTCAATATAGTGCTATATTTATGTTTTTTAACATTGTAAAGTCTGATGTACTTATATCTATGTAGAAATCAACCAATAAATCAATCATCAAAGCTGATCTTGTTTCATGATTTGCTGAAAAGTATAATCACCATGGTGTTTACGAAAACAAAGTTACTGAAATTTCTCAGATGTGCTTCAATGCATTCATATACATTATATTCATTTATAAGAGAGAGATAGAGAGAGAGATTATGTTAGATTTTTCTTTTATACAAGATGTTCTCTTACGACGTCTATTTTATTTTATACCACAGCAATAGCCTTATTATATGTACAGATATTTGTAAATTTATTGTATTTTTATTGAGGGATGGATAGCATATATCAATTCCCCGGGGCAAAGCATCGATTTAATTTAATCAGTATTTTATTATATGAAGTAAATTACGTCATTGATTGGACATCAGGCATAGTCTATATAAGTCCTATCCAAGAAGGTCAAGGTTACAAATGTTACGAATTGACGACAATCATGTGTAATGGTTTACAATGATGAGATTGTTCATATTAAATTATATTAATTTCGAATGTAAACTAGAAAAGAAAAAAATGAAAAAAGATAAATTATACAGAGGAGTTATTACTTAGCATATATATTCGCGAACAAAATTCGCGAGTGAAATCTGAGAGGATCTACTAGCATTTGATGTTCCTCTTGAAGGATGATGATATAATTGTCGAAACAAAAATATTGACAATTTGAAGTCATTAGCCAATTTCATCTGTGTTTCCCCATGACACAAAGACATGTTTTCTAAAAAAAAAATTTGCTTGCAAGCGAGAATTGTGAAAGAAAATACCCAGCAAAAGTTTTTCGTTTTTCCTTCAGTTAAAAACAAATATTGATATTCCATGAATAAAAGCCGACTGGAAAATAAGCTGAACTTTAATATACATTTTAAAAAAAAATCAGTCCGTTATCCTTGTCTCATTTTATATCACAAATGATCGCAAATTAAACCACAGTGTACATTTCGTCTTAGGTTATTATGAGAATTTAAATGCTGTACCTGTTAAAACTGTGAGCTTGTTTAGACGAGCCATTGGAAAAAATCAGTGATCCAGCACGGAACAGCTTACTGCTATTTTATGAATCTATCGAGGGTATTTACAAATGACAGGGATCAATGTGCTGCCATTAGAGTTCGTATGTTGTAATCAGTTACAAAGAAATAGGAACCAAGAGGACACATAAAATGAAAGGTTCCTAGTTCCAATCATCCCTTGGACAATACTTGGACATTACATGTTCTTTTGTTATTCAGAGTTCCGCTATAGCTTGGAATTGTATTCCCTTGACTGGGACACATGTTTGGATGTCGTTGTTGACACGGTGAAAGAAATATGGGATCTAGACCCAGTATCCCGGTGGTGCTGCTACCACGGGATACGGTTGCCATAGTAACTGGCGCAAATTCAGGTAAGGATATTTCAAAAATAGTTTCAATTTGACATTTTAAAAAAATGTACAAATAGTTTTTTGTGTCATTTTAATTTTTTTTCCAGTAGGGCCCATATACTTAGGCATTATTATAGCTTAAACTATTAACAGTTATTGAAGGAATAGTCTTTAGCTGAAAAGAAATTCTGAATAGGGAATGTAATTATAACAAACATCGATAGCATTAAAAGTGACAGGTATAAACCTTGCAGTATTATTTTGAGGAAAAATATCGATTAAGCTTATAGAAAATCCTTAAACTACCTTTTACCAATATCTATGGAACATCCCTTCTATTTCCGACAGAGTGCAATGCAGCACTTGACAGAACTATCGCAATTGTTCTTAGAGTAAATAAGAGACACTTCAATGAGTTCAGTTTACAGAATTCAATTCTAACGTCGAATCTGCTGTCCAAAAAAAGTAATCAATATTTCTATGAAAATAGAAAAAAGCAATAAAATATATAATTTTGATTCCTTAAATCATTTGCACTTTTATAGTAATCTTGCAAAGCTCATTTATTAGAATAAGTACATTCAAATCTCTATAGAACTGCCTAATGCTATTTATAATTCCTAAATCCATTAATCATTTAAGAGATTAATTTAATGCAGTGAATTAATTATTTCAAAGAATGTTGACAGCGTATGAAAATGTACCTTCACTTTTACAAATATTCCACAAAACATGTCATGAACAAACAATAAACAATGACCGTCAGTTTTCTGTAATAGCTTTAATTATCTATTCTTGGTGACAACTCAATTAAAATGCAGATAGCTTAGAGTTACGATACCTCTTGACACACGTATAGAAAAAAAGATCTTAGTATCTTTATTACTCCTTTGAATACCTTTAAAGCTCAGCTGACGTTTTAGTCTTTTATTGACCACAGCTATCAATTCAAAGTATTTCAGAGCGTACAATATTTATTAAAGACCAATAAAATCAGAATTTGATATTCAATGGATAAATCCATTTTGGAATAGACCTCAATTATGAGAATGAGACATGTTGAATGAAATCATACATATGTGATTTTTTAGAGTCAAGGGCAACATTTAATTACTTACGTCTCAGTGAATTGATATGAGTAACGTTTCTGACAAGGATTGTTTCGTGTAAACATTGCATTTTAACTAGACAATAAAGCCGATGGTTAAAGAACACTCTATTGGAACTTGGTACTGCATTGATGCTTATACAGCTTAAAAACGTTTTAACCTAACATGCTTTTGTAAACTAATTAAATGCACATTTTGAAAAATATATAATGCTACAAACTTAACAAAAAATTTAATCAAAAAAGGATTTTAGCGCAAATACGGTAAAAGTAAACTAGGATTTATTTTTCCCTATGCAGTTTTGTCGCATAGATAAT